AACTGGAAGTTTGTACCTTTGGACCACCTTCCTCCAATTTCCCCTCCCCTCACTCTCTGCCTGGTATCTACAAGCCTCATCTTTTTCTGTTTGGGTTTTTTAAAGATTCCACATATAAGTAAGATCATACAGTATTTGTCTTTCCCTGACTCATTTCACTTAGCCTTTAAGGTCCATCTATGTTGCCAATGGTAGGACTTCCTCATGTTTATGGCTGAATAACATTCCATTGTATAAATATACCACATCTCCCTTATCCTTCATCCAGGGGTGTACACTCAGGTTGTTTCCATGTGTTGGCTATCTCTATATATAAAAGCCTGGGCGACCATTTGACCGTTCGCTATGACATGCACTGATCACCAGGGAGCAGATGCTCAACACACAGGCAACATGGAACAGACTGATGGAATCTCAGAAGGAAGTGGGGAGGGCAGGAAGAGATTAACCAAAGATCTTATGTGCATGCTGGAGGCCCCATGCATGGATTCGTGCATCGGTGGGGTCCCTTGGCCTGGCCTGCAGGGACCGGGCCTCTAGTTGTGAAACAATGCTGCTATGTACATGGGGGTACAAATATCTTTTCAAGTTAGTGTTTTCATTTCCTTTGGATATATTCCCAGAAGTGGAATTGCAGGATCACATGGCAGTTCTATGTTTAATATTTTGAGGATATGTTTTTTTTGTGTGTGTTTAATATATTTTATTGATTTGTACAGAGAGGAAGGGAGAGGGATAGAGTTAGAAACATCGATGAAAGAGAAACATCAACCAGCTGCCTCCTGCACAACCCCCACTGGGAATCGAGTCTGCAACCAAGGTACATGCCCTTGACCAGAATCGAACCTGGGACCCTTCAGTCCACAGGCCAACGCTCTAGCCACTGAGCCAAACTGGTTAAGGCGAAGATATGTTTTTTATTATTATTATTAATTTTTAATCCTAACTCAAGGATATTTTTTCCATTGATTTTTAGGAAGAGTGGAAGGGAGAAAAGGGGAGAGAAACAGTGACATGAGACACACATTGATTGTTTGCCTCCTACACAGCCCTGACCAGGGGTGGGGAGCAAACTGCAATCTAGGATGTGCACATGACCAGGAAGTGAACCTGAGACCCTTTGGTTCTAGCGCCAACATTCTAACCACTGAACCAAACCAGCCAGGGTGAGGATAAGTTTAACTTTTTGAGGAACTGTCAGACTATTTTCCAAAGTAGTTGCACAATTTTACATTTGTACCAGCAATATGTTAGTTTTAATTTCTCCACATCTTAACCAACACTTGCTAATATCTGTCTTTTTTATTATAGCATCCTAATGAGTGTGCAGTAGTATCTCATTGTGGTTTTGGTTTTCATTTCCTCAATGACTAATGATGCTGAGCATCTTTCCATGTGCTTATTGGAATGTCTATTCAATCTTTTGTCCATTTTTAAAAATTGGGACAGGTATTCTTTCCATTATTGAGTTGTAGGAATTCTTTCCATGTTCTAGACACAAGTCCCTTATCAGATACATGATTTGCAAACATTTTCTCTCATTCTGTGGGTTGTCTTTTCAATTTTTGTTGATGATATCCATTGAACACAAAATTTTAAAATTTTGATAATGCCCAATTTATCACTTTATTTTGTTGTTAGTGCTTTTTGATGTTATAGCTAAGAAACCAATGCCTAATCCTAGGTCACAAAGACTTATCCCTGTTTTCTTCTAACAGTTTTATATGTTTAAATATTTGATACATTTTTAGTTCATCTTTGTATGTGGTATGAAATGGGAATCCAACTTCATTCTTATGTATGTACATGTCCAGTTATTCTAGCATTTTTGTTGAAGATTATTCTCCCCCATCTAATTATCATTACTCTATCAAAAATCAGTTGGTCATAAAATTGAATGTTTATTTCTGGATTCTTAATCCTCTTCCATTGGTCTACATGTCTATCTTTATGCCAGTACCACACCACATTGACTACTGTAGCTTGGTAGTAAGTTTTGAAATCAGGGAGTGCAAGTCCTCCAATTTTGTCCTTTTCCAAGATTTTTTAGTCTATTCTAAGCACCTTTAATTTTAGGACCAGCTTCTCAAATTTCTGCAAAGAAGTCCACCGAGATATTAACAGGGTGTGTGTAATCTGCCATCTTAACTATGATAAGTCTTCCAATCCATGAGCATGGGATGTCTTTCCATTCATTTAGATTTCTTTCAACAATGTTTTATAGTTTTCAAAATGTAAGTTTTTCAATTATTTTGTTAAATTTGTTCATAAGTACTTTGTTACTTTTGATGCTATTGTAAGCAAAATTCTTCATTCCTACTTTGTTCAATTGCAAGTGTATAGAAATACAATTGATCTTGAATCCTATGCCTTTGCTGAATTCACTTATTATAGAAGCACTTTTAGTGGATTCCTTACTATTTTAAAAAATATATATATGTTTTTATTGATTTCAGAGAGAGGAAGGAGAGGGAGAGAGAAACAGTGATGAGAAACATTGATTGGCTGCTTCCTGCACGCCCCTTACTGGCCATCAAGCCCACAACCAGGGCATGTGTCCTGACTGGGAATCCAACCAGCAACCTCTTAGTACATGGGACAAGGCTCAACTATTGAGCCACACAGGCCAGGTCCTTAGGATTTTTTATATACAAGATCATGTCATCTACAGTTTTACTTCTTCCTTTCTGATCCTCTTTTTCCTTGCCCTATTGCCCTGGCTCGTCCCTCCAGTGCACTGAGCAGTGGCAAGAGCAGACATCCCTTTCTTCTTCCTGATCTTTGGAGAAAAACATTAGATCTCTCATTCCGTGTTATTTGTGGGGTTTTCATACTATCAGGGTATATCATTGACTAGGGTGAGGAAGTTCTCTATTCTTAGGTTTTTGGATGTTTTTATCATGAAGGGTGTGAATTCTGCCACATACTTTTTCTGTGTCTACTGAAATGATCCTTTGGCTTTTGTCCCTTGTTTTGTGGATAAGAGTGTAGTACATTGATTTTCAGATGTTGGTCCAACTTGCTCCAGAGGGCGTTTTCTCATGCTGCCTCCTGGGTCCCCTGAGGTGCTCAGCTGTGGTAGCCTCTGGGCAGAGCAGAACTGTGGCAGCCCAAACCCATCTTTCCTAGTTTTTCAATGGACTGTGCCTGCCTCCTGCGAAGAACCCCCTCAGGAAGACTGTCACATGAGAGAGCCTACCCCAGGCCAGGAGCCTCTTTGGAAGCTCGTGTGGATAGAGGGCATGTTCAGAGGGTGGGAGGGGCCGGCGCCAGTGCTCTGCTGGAGGGCTCCCGGGCATCTGGGGGCTGGCCCAGCAGCAGTGACCACTGCAGGGGCCCAGCACAGGTGTCCACTGCCACCTCAGGCTTTACCACAGGGGGTCCTGGTCACAGGCTTCCCAGCTTTGTCCATCAGAATTAAGTGTCCCTCGAGGGGGGATGGTGACTGGCTCCCACAGCATTCCAGATCGGTCGCCCCTCCTTCTGCTGACAGCTCAGCTTCCCTCCTGCCCCAATACAACCCACCTCCTTTCAAATGGGACCTTGCCACTCTATTTCCTGGACTGCCAGGGAACGTGCCAGGTGCTCAGAGGGCCCAGGGAGCAAAGGGAGCCTTTCCCTTCACACACACACACACACACACACACACACACACAGA